TGGTCATCTGTGACTTGTGACCAACTATTTGGTGTCTGTAACCCAGCGATTGTGGTTTTTTTGGTATCTGTGACCTAACTTAAAATTGATAATTTGTAACTAAAAAAATAATCCGTGACCTCAAAATAATATGTGACATATAAAATTTTAGATCTGTGACTTCGAAATAATCTGTGACCTATAAAATTTTTTATCTGTGACCTGAAAATATTACGTGATGTACAAAAAATTTTATCTGTGACCTCGATATAATCCGTGACCTACAAAATTTTTGATCTGTAACCTTGAAAAAATCTCCGAAATTGTTGCCGGTCACCGGAGTAGTCGTCGGAGTAGAGGTGGCAGTGGGATGGGTTAATTATATTATATTACAGTTTAATATTTAATTTAATATAATAATTGTGAAATATAATTAATTAATTTATGAAAAACCTGATTTTTGCAATTCTAAACCTTGGGACCTGATTTTTGATTTTGAGATAGATAAAGCCTGAGTTGTAAATTTTTCCCATATTAAATGCACAACTATCTTACATGGACCACATAGGTGAGTCCAGGAGGCCCGTACTTTTGCATAGTTTGAATTTAAATAGGTGAANGAATAAATTTTGGCAAAATTAATGGAGTACCAAATTCCAATTAAATGAATTACATAACAACATATTTAATTGGACTTATCATTTAGCCAATGTTTGGTAGAGATTAAAATCAGTTTTTTTTTTTCAGTAGTTTTTTATGAAATGTGTGGTTGAAAAGTTGTGGATCCAATAAAATGTGTGGTTAAAATTAATTATTGATTTTGACTTGAGATTTCAATTAAATTTTAATTCAAACCAAACAGGGGCTTAATCCCACCTACATGCCACATAGATTAGTGCTCTAACACCACTGATGATGAATAATATTATTCGACAATAAATGATAAAAAATTGCACAATGTTCATCTACAAAAGTATTTCTTTTCCTTTTTAGTGCATTGAAATACATTGTCAACTTGTATGCTCGTACGCCTAATTTTTTTATTTATCTGAATTAAAAAGTAATGTAAGGCTAATATGCCCAATTCTTTTTATTGAAAGGATCGTTTTCTTATCGTTTAATCATATCTATATATAAGATAAAATGCGTCAAACTTTTGCGCAGTTGAGAAATGCCTACACAGTATAACTTATGGGATCCCGGTCATGTGCTGCCACCTACTAATCCATGTGAATTCTTTCATTCTTTCGACGTGTCTGTATAAATCTCCATAATTGACTAATAACCAGAAAACTACGCATTTATCTTTGAAATATATATTGATGCATAAAGCCAAAGGCAACAATTCTAGCGTTTCCATTACGTATACAAATTTTACGATCAACCTTTATCTACTATGTATTAAGGGTTCGTTTGATTGAAAGAATGAAATTGGGTAGAAAGAAAATGAATTCCAGGAAATTGAATTACCTATAATTTATTTTCTTGAGAATTATCTATTAATTGTGTTTGATTGGTCATTAGTATAAATTTTCACCTGAAAAATATTGAAATTTTGGATCTTTTAGTGTTTGATTGACTTTGTTTTCCATAAAAATTGTCTATTAAATGAATAAAATTTGTTTTCATTGTAAAAAAAAAAGTTGCCTAGAAAAACTTTTCCCACCAAACCCATGGGAAAAGCTTTTCCTCAAAAATCAAGCAAATGTGAAAACAAATTTTATGGAAAATTTAGCCAATCAAACATGCAAAAAGA